GTCCGTAGGTCAGTGGGTTTAGGGCGGGAATCTGTCCCGCCACCCCTTTACCCCTTGCACCCGAGGCTGATGAGGGTGCTGGCTGCCTGCAGGGAGCATGGCAAAGCGCCTCAACCAGATTGGGGTGGAGAACACGGAGGAGAACCGCCGGCTGTACCGCCAGATCCTCTTCAGCGCCGACAGCCGGGTGAAGAAATGCATTGGGGGGGTCATCTTCTTCCATGAGACCATGTACCAGAAGGCTGACGACGGAACCCCCTTCGTGCAGATGATCAAGGATAAGGGCATCGTCGTGGGCATCAAGGTGTGGGGGATGTCCAATGGGTTTGTGGGGTGCTTGGAGGGTGCTGGTGGGGCTCAGCACCGCCATCACCTTCTCTCTGCAGGTGGACAAGGGTGTTGTGCCGCTGGCTGGGACTGATGGCGAGACCACCACGCAGGGTAGGTGCAGTGGGTAGGGGGGGGGGGAGGGGGGTTTGGGGCTGTGGGGCTGATGAGCTGTCTGGCAGGTCTGGACGGGCTGTCGGAGCGTTGTGCCCAGTACAAGAAGGATGGGGCTGACTTTGCCAAGTGGCGCTGTGTGCTGAAGATCAGTGACAACACCCCCTCTGCGCTCGCCATCATGGAGAACGCCAACGTCCTGGCCCGCTATGCCAGCATCTGCCAGCAGGTATGTGTCTGTGGGCAGGCATCACCCCACAGGATGGGCATTGACCCATAGGGTGGGTGTTGACCTACGGGGTCAGGTATCCATGGGGCTCAGTATTGCTCCTGTGCTTGGGTATCATCCCATGGAGCTGGATATCAGCCCATGGGCTAGGTAACACTGCACATGGATGGGCATTGAGCCCCAGAAGCAGGCATTGCCCCATGAGGTGGGCGTCATCCATGGGGTCAGGCGTTGCTACATGGGGCTGGGCATCACCCCACAAACACAGACATTGCTCCATGGAGCCAAGAATTGACCCTCCCAGGCTGGGCATCACCAGCAAGGGTGGGCATTGAGCGTCGGGGCTGAGCATCCCAGCCCAGTCCAGTCAGTCACTGGTCCCCGCAGGGATGTCCAGGGACATCCCCATGATGGCATCTACCTGGTGTTTGCAGAATGGCATCGTGCCCATCGTGGAGCCAGAGATCCTGCCTGATGGTGACCATGACCTCAAGCGGTGCCAGTATGTGACGGAGAAGGTGAGTGTCGGGGTGGGCAGCAGGGCAGGCACCGTGCTGTGCCGTGCCGTGCTGTGCCGGGAGGCTCCACGCTGCCCGTCCCCACTAGGTGCTGGCAGCTGTCTACAAGGCACTGAGCGACCACCACGTCTACCTGGAGGGGACCCTGCTGAAGCCCAACATGGTGACCCCCGGGCACTCCTGCCCCACCAAGTACAGCCCCGAGGAGATTGCCATGGCCACTGTCAC